GCCGGGCCGGGCCGGGGGCCGGGCCGGGGGCGGCGGCGCCGGGCGGCTGCAGGTAGCGCTGCCCGAACTTGCGCAGCTGCAGCGTCGCCTGCTGGTGAAGGTTCTTGCCCAGCTCCCGGGCCACGTCCGGGCGTCCGCTGCGCCGCAGGGCCCGGGCCACGCGGTCCCACGGCAGGGACGTGGCCTGGGCAGCCAGCCAGGCCGCCAACGTCTCTCGGCAGCCGTCGGAGACCTCCCTGGGCTCGGGCGGCCTGCCCACCGTGTCCTCCGCCGGGCCCCCGGCCGCCTCCCGCCGCCGCCGCCTCCACAGCCGGCCCGACGACGCCGACGTGGTCGGCAGCGGCTCGGGCCGCGCAAGCTGGTCCTCAGAAAGCCGGGCCAGCTCGGCCTCGACGTCGGGCGCGGGCGCCTCCAGGAGCGACCGGAAGTGGCTGCACTCCTCCGGGGTCAGCAGCTCCGCCAGACGGACGGCTGCGTGGGGGCCCATGGCGTCCACGGCCCCGGCCGGCCCCGGCGTCCAGCCCCACAGCACCAGGACCAAGGCGCCCGCCACAGCCCGCGCCGCCATGGCCGGCGGGAAGAACGCCCGCGGTGGGGGAGGGGCGCCCGACACCGCGGATTGTGGGCGGGCGCCGCGTGGAACATTCCAGGACTGGGACGGAAGCGCAGGAGGGTACTCCCAGCACACAGGGGTTCCCCATACCCAGGGACGGGGATGGGGGGCTCCGAATCATGGAACTTGTTGGAGGAGGGTCTCACAAGAGTCAGGAACTGGGGTGAGAGGATCTGCAATACCCAGGGGTGGGTGAACTTCTTAGCCCCCAGGGGGCTAGGATTCCCGGCCCTCAGGTTGACGAGCCTGCCCTAGGCCTCCTGGCTATCCCGCTGATACCTCAAACTTAGCATGTCCCCACATCTCTCCTAATTCATTTCCTGCCCGCCTCCTCACCCTCTGCCAGAAGCCCTAAGATCCCTTGCTCTCCATTATCCCCAATATCCAACCATTTCCTAAATTCTCGCTACCCACCAAATGCTACACGTTTAGTATTTAGTAAATGACTCCATCTCTTCCCGTTCTCCCACCCCTGCACTGGTCCAAACCCTCAGCCTCCCGTGTGTGGATAAGGTCAGCACCTCCTCCAGTCCCCATCCCACCCCCACACACACTAAGGCCCTGCTGACCTAAACTTGCTTCCCTTCCCCCCAAGGAAGCTTGGCCCCGCCTCTCCTTTGGATCCTGGCCACGCCCCCTGCTGCCAGGTGCCTCTGGGAAGCCCTGCCTGACTCCAGCACACTGCCTAGCCGTGTCTCCATTAGGGACCCTCCTGTCTGCTCCCACAGCACCCTGCAGCTCTGCCTTCTTAGTGCCTCCCCCATTAGACTGTAAGGTCCACCCCGTCCCCATGGCAACTAGTACATAATAGGTGTTTAGTAAAGACTTGTTGAATGACCCTATGAACTCAACTTGCCAATCCACCAGTCCCTCACCCCTACAAAGGCTTCAGTGTGGAGCCCCATGGTAACAGGGCATGGAAGGTCTTCCGTGGTGAGGTCCCAGGTAACTCCTCCAGCCTCACTCTCCCCCTCCCCCGCCCACACTTTGTCGTATACCAAATCACTGCTGATGGCACAGCCCTGCATGTATTACAGGTTTCCAGCCTCTACTTTGCCCAGCTATCCCCCCCTCCTATCTAGGAAGTCTGACACCCCACCACTACACCACCAGGAGTCAGGATCTTTTCTTGAGAGAACCTGTGTATCCTCCATCAGGGCACTTATCTGGAAATTAATTAGAGGATTTATTCAACAAACATTTACCCAGTGTCTTCTATGTACCAGGTAATTGGGCCAGATGTGTGAATATAAAGATTTGATATGGTCCCCCCATATCAAAGCAACTTTATCCAGTTGTATTTTTAAAAGTTCTATTGTTGCACTTTTCCCACCTGGGTTGTGGGCTCTCCAGAAACTGTGCTTGATTGACCATTTCTGTATTCTCAGTGCCATGCACAATGTCTGCACACAGTAGGTAGGTGCATAATAAACTAGAGGAGTTGGGGGGGGGCTGGACATCCAGGGGCTGAGAGTTGGGATCACTGAGCCCTGGGACAGTGCCCTAGAGCCCCCAGGTCCAGGCATACCATATCTGTCCCTCTGGAAGGAGCAGCTGTTACTTGGTAGGGTCACCCTGGTGCTGCTTGGTCTCCTGCAAGCCCGTGGTAAGCCCTAAGCAGGGAGCCCGGATCCACCGCCTCCCTTGAGCTCTTGTGCATTTTGAATAATGTTGCTGAGAGCGTTCAAGGACCTAGGAGGTTGTGGGTCCAAACCTCTCCCAGGCATCTCAGCCTTTTCAGCAAGTGTTCCTTCCAGATTCTCTCAGTCTCCCAGATTATGACAAGATGTCAAAGGTAGAGTCTGGGGACTCATGGATGGTGGGCAAAGGATCTCATGTGACCTGAAACACTGGAACTTGGCTGTCTCCACACCCTGCCCTCTGCTCCCTGCGCTCCACCCAAGAGTGGAATACAAGTATTAGCCCTAGCTCTGCTCAACAAGGACTGCTGCAGGTTCTGAATGACCCCTCCTCCTCTTCACCCCCCCTTTCCTCCATGCATTCATCTGTCCATTCATTCAGTCATTCAACAAACATGTGAGCCCTTCCTTGTCCCTCAATACAATGAGTCAACTCCAGTTCTGAGCCTCTAGAGTTCAGAATTGCAGGAGGGCCTCCCTATCCAGAGGTTTTTCACTCTGCAGCCTCAGTGCCCAGTTCCTGGCAGGCACTCACTGTGCCAGAGCAAATGACAGGTGTCCCAGCATAACTCTCGACAGAAGGAATAGAAACACCCACAGGGCCCTATGCAGAGCACTAGCAGACCTGGGTGCCCAGGCATTTCTCAGAGGGCTCCCCACATCCCACTGCCCCCAAGAAATCCTCTGGAAACCATGTCATCGCTTTAATACTGTGTAATACTTTCTTTTAAAATACAGTCTCTTCTGAGGTAGACAGACCACAACTGCAGAGCATCGTCAGACAGGAGATAAATATGTCCATGTACAACACGCAGCAAAATGAGGTAGAAATGGTTACAGCTGGAGGAGAGGATCCCAACCCCAATCTGGGTAGAGGAAGGAGAGGACCAGCTTGCCAAGTCTGCCCTCCCCACACCCTGCCCCTGGATTCTTTGGTATGCCCCCCCAACACTGCCAGAGCTGGACCTGCCCTCCCCCTACCCTCCCCAGTGCCCATGAGGTAGGTGCCAGTAGCCTGGGGGCCGTCTCCTTGTGCAAAGTTCCCCAGGCCTGGGGAACAAAAGAGCCCAGTAGAGGAAGCGGTGGGGATTCTGGTCCCGGTCCAGGCAGAGCTGCCTGGCCCTTGAAGGGACGGCTGGGATCCCAACCCCATTTCCCGACACCCTCCACCCCCCGCCCCATACATACACACACCTGAGAGAGAACCCCCTCACTCCATGCTCCCTCCGAGGGTCTTTCACAGCCAAGACCCTGTGGCCTACTGCTTCTGAGGCACCAAAGCCCTGTGATCAGCTGGCTCCAAGGAGAGAAGGGTCAGAGAGAGAGCAAGTGGGCAAAGGGGAAAAACAGAGCAGCTTTCCTGTAGCATGTCTAGGCCAGCACAGGCCCTCAGCACCTTGGCACCTGAAAGGTCCCGCAGGGACACCCTCCCAGCCAGGAGTGGGAGGTGGCACAGACTCTAGGAAATGGAGGAGCAGGCAGGGAAGGGGAAGGGAGGCCAAGGTGGGAGAGAGAAAAGGAGGTGAGGAGGGTGTGTCCCTCCCTTTGGACTGAAGATCAGGTCTGTGATATGGGCTGGGTCCGGGAAGCAAACTGCTAAACCCTCATCAAGGGAAAACTGGTGGCAAGGAAAGGGATGTGGTTCCCAGACAGAAGCGCTCTAGGCTGGTGGAAAGTGTGGGTAGAACTGAGATTCCCCATGTCAGGGAAATACCCTGCCCGTCTCCTTCACCCTCTCCCAGCTCCGGGGGCTCCAGGCCTAGGACTCTAGGGGAACCTTCTCCTGTGAGGGTGCCCAACCCTCCTCCGAGCCTCCCAACAGAGAAGGTGGCTGAGGCCTCATAGTCGATTTTATGCCCAACCGGACTTGTGGCCAGACTGTCTTCCCAGATGGGATTCCCATAGTGGAAGTCATTGGGGGATCTCTGCCAAGGCAGGGGCCAGGTGAGATGACCTCTCTGAGGACCTTCTGCTGAGGTCACCTTCCCAATTTTGCCCTCCCAGCCTACTGTCTGGTCTGGGTCTGGGGAAGGAAACGGGTAAGGCCATTCCAACTCTGGATAACCCTTCACAGACAACACTAAACTGAGGGGTGGGTCCCAGAGGGGAGAACAGTGGGAAGGAAGACCTACCCCCTCTCTCAAATCCTTACCCGCTCCCCCACACCCCTGCCTACAACCTCACACCTGGGGAGGAAGCCCTTAGAAATACATTCTGCTTCTGTCCCAGGAATACCTGGGGCTTGAATGTGGGCTCTGGGTCTTCCTCTCCCCTTCCCCACAGGTCTCATTTTCTGAGTCTTCTGGGAGAATTTGCTTCCTGGAGTGGGGTGGGGTGGGGGGAACACACAGGAGAGCAGCAAAAGCCTAACATTCTTTCTGAGGTCAGTTTCTTCCTGAGTTGTCAAAACAAAAAAATAACACCAGCAAATTCTACACAATCTTACAAAAATAAGAGGCCTAAAATATTAAACAAGCTACATTTCTGGGATTTTCCCTCAAAAACAAACCCCAAAAACCCCTTCTTTGGGTTTTTTCTTTTTGTTTGACCCCGATCCCCCCTACCCAAATTTCAGCTGGGTGAGGGACAACCAGGTGGAAGGGAAACCCTTCCTCCTCAACCCCTGGGCCTCCAGATCTTCTGCAAAAGGACATTGCAGTCTGAGTAAGGGGCACAGAAGGCAGGAAGAGGCATGAAAGCACAGGGACTCCGGAGAGCAAGGGATGGAGAGATGGGCAGAGAGGAAGGAGCAAAAAAGAAACAGGGCCAGCATGGGGGTAAGTGGCAGTGACAAAGCAACAGGGAGAGAAAACTAAGCGAATGCAAAGGGGTGGAGAGAGAGGGGAGGAGGAGGGTGCCATTCAGATAGTGGAGACAAAAGAATTGTGGCAAGAGAGCAGGAGTTCCTGAGGCTCCAGGTGCCAGCCTATGCCAGGACTGCCCCGTCTGCAGGGCAGAGATGGCGAGCTTCCCATCCACAATAAATAGGAAAAACCTGAGTACACGGTGCATATGGCATGTATCTGCCTGGCAGAAGCCTTTTCCCTCCCACAAAAAAAAAAAAAAATCCACCGGCAGAGCCCTCCCGTCCCTCACCCACATTCACCAATTTACCACTTGGGCAGGCACCCTCCCAGCCGGGTTAGGTCAATGACCGCCCTCCTAAGTGGAGGAGGCCGGGAGGGAGGAGCGGCGGCTCCCGCAGCCTCCCCGCGCGCCATCAGTGTCCAGAGCCGTACATCTTGTCCCACTCCACGAACGAGTCCAGCTCCTTGGGGGAGGCTCTAGGGCCCACTTTGGCTAGCGCCGCCTCTAAGTCCTTGTAAGAGGGGGGGCGCTGCAGCCCCGGGAGGCCCGCCCCGGCCGCTGCCTGCTGGCACAGCTGCCCTAGTTCGCCCCCGGAGAAGCCCTGGGTGCCCTGCACCAGGGCCGCGAGCTCCGGCTCGCTGAGCACGCAGCCCTGCTGGGCCAGCGCCCGCTGCAGGATCTGCCCACGGGCCGGGCTGTCGGGCAGCGCCACGTAGAAGCGGAGAGCGAAGCGCCGGCGGGTCGCCTCGTCCAGAGCCGAGGGCCGCGACGTGGTGCCTACGACCAGCACACCGTCGGCCCCCGCGCCGCAGCTGCCGTCCAGGCAGGCCAGGAGCTGCACCTGCAGCGCGCCCGCGGCAGCCGCGCCGTCGTCCCGGGCCGGGAGCAGCGCGTCCAGCTCGCTGATGAGGAGCACTGCGGGCGGGCGGCAGCGCGCAGCCGCGAAGGCGGCCTGCAGGAGGCGCGCGCCCTCGGCGGCGCCGGGAGCAGCCAGGGTCACACCGCGCAGGCGCAGCAGCGTGGCGCCCAGCTGCGTGGCGAGGCAGCGCCCCAGCAGCGCTTTGCCCGCGCCCCGGGGCCCGAAGAGCAGGACTGTCCTCGGCGAGCGCGGGTTGACGGGGTAGGCGGGCGGCCTCAGCAGGGGCCACACCAGCTCCTCTTCCAGCGCCGCCTTGAGCGCGCCCTGGCCTGCCACATCTGCCCACTGCACCGGAGGCCCGCAGTCCACCATCTTGCTGGTCACCAGCTCTAGGGTCCCCGGGTCCACACCTTTGGGTGGCTCCCCCGACGGCACCGCGAAGCCCCCGCGAGAAGCTGGCACCGGGGCCCTCTCCGGGAACTTTTCAAAGGGCTCGAGTTGCGGGCCGTAGACTGGGGAGCTCAGGACCTTGAGGGGGACGCCGCCACCGTACTTGCCCGACGCCTCCTCTGCGGCTCCCAGAGGCTTTGCCCGGAACCCGTTGCCCCGACACTCGCTGCTGTCCGCGGCGGGATAGGAGGCGCCGTCGGCCGCGGCCTTTGCGGGCTCGTAAACGTACTTGCGGTAGCGGCCCTCTGCCCCGTCGTCGGCGGCTTTGCGCTTCAGCGACACTCCGGCCTCCGCGCCCGGAGCGGCCGTCTGGAAGCTGTAGGAGGTGGGCGCCGGCCGCGGCGGGGCGGGCGCGGGCAGGGGCAGGGGCGTAGGCGCGGGCAGGCCCGAGGTCAGGTAGGGGGCCGGGGGCGGCGCCGGGGGCGGCGGGAGAGCGCCGTAGCCGGGCTGCGCCGCGTAGCCCCCCGCAGGGTAGTTGTACAGAGGCCCCGAGGGGCCGTACCCGGGCGGGGGCGGCGGCTGCAGCAGCGCGGCCGGGGGCGGCGGGGGCAGCGCGGCGCCCGTCTGCGCGCAGTAGCCTTGGGCCAGGTATCCCCCGCCGTAGCCCGCCGCATACTCGGGCGCCGCCGACGGGCCCCCGCATGCATTGCCGGCGTAGAGGGGTTCCGGCAGGTTCCCGGCTAAAACAGGGGAGCCTCCGAGACCCCCGGAGCCGCCCCCACTGCCCGACTTGGTTCCTGGGAGGCCCTCGTGGAGTGAGGCCAAGGGATAGGGTGGCTCTGGCCCAGGCCAGGGCTCAGGGTCCCCTTTGGCTCCGTTGAGGAAGGTGGCGTCGCCGTAGCCGCCCACGGTGGGGCGCTCGTAGGGCGAGTCCAGGACCCCCGAGTACTTTTCTGCGTAGCGCTTGAGGAGGTTGGAGGCAGTGAGGGCAGAGATGTCATCGTGTGCCCAAGCGTAGTGGCAGCGCTGGCGACCCCCAGGGGGCAACTCCAACTTGTGGGCCGGCGACGGAGTGGTGGAGGAGACGTCCAAGTGCTGCTCTGGCCACTGGTTGAGGGGCTGGGCGTGTTCAGGTGTCCAGTGCATCTTCGACAGAGCTGCAGGCAAGAGGGAGGAGCAGCTGGTGAGGCCCTGCAGAGCTGCTGAGCTCCACAGGCCAGCCCACTTAGACTGTAGCCTGGGACAGGCTGGTCTTCCAGCATTCACCTACCGTTCCACCCTCCTGGGGCCCTTCCTTCAGGCACCAAATACCCTTTATGCCCCAGGATTACAGTTATCTGAAAATATTTTCCTCAGAGCCAAGAGGGATCTGGAAAGGACATGGTTGGCCCTAACTTCACCTTGTAGGCAATGGTTATCGTTTTGTCCTGGCCATACCAGCCATGCCCTCTGTAATCTACATAGTCCTTACTTGCAGACCTAATGAAGGATCAGGCAGTGGCTGGGACATCCCAGCTCTGGTCCTACTCAAACCCAGGGGAGGCTCATTCAGTGACATATTTGTAGCTCACCCACTATGTGCTGGCCACTACAGAGACACTGGGGTTATATAAAGATGACTGAGGGCTGCTTAGGGTCCCTGACCTTGTGGCCCAGCAGTTTGATATTCCTAAATTCTCTGTTCACCTCAGCCTTCCCTGAGATTCCAAGGCCCCCTTTGGGCATGAGATGAGAGATGTGGACGTGTGTTTCCAGCAGTGCCTTTTCCTGCCTGGGAAACCTCCTGGGCTTACCCAGAACCATTCACTTCCTTTCCACTTGGTTCTTTTAGCCCCTGCCTGATGAAGTACCTGGGTTCCAGACCCAACTGTAGGTAATGGCTGTGTTCCCAGGGCAAGTGCTGCCACCTGCCTCATTCCCAGTACGTCTCACCACAGTACTAAAATATGATGCAGAACAGATGACATTCTGGAGAAGACGGGGGAAAGTTAGTACACAACCATGCACATCATAGAAACTAAATCACAAATTTGTCTTTGAACTTCCCACTAACAAAATAAAGAAGGAGATGTGATCACACTTACTTTGCACCATTACTCAAAAGAAGCAAAAATGTTCCTGGGATTGAAATCATAGACCTCAGGAAGCATATCTGTGAGATGTAATAAACAATGTCCTCCTTGACATCTGTGTTGTGAACACGCAGAAAGTTTCCACAGCTATTTCTTACTCTGTCCCTTAGAACCTGTCAAGGCACAGGCCAAACACTGGTTTAAAAAAAGGAGGTTGGGGCCTTGGGAATAGCACTATCTAGGTACGTGGCTCCAAATGGGCTGGCCTGATCCTAGGATAAAATCTCAAAGACTAAATGGGCCCATGGCATACCTAGAGACAGTTTTTGCTGATGATTAGTTCTCAAACCTAAGCTTTTGATAAGACAAGTTACATCACAGGTTCATGTGTTCTCCTAAGTTCAATATTCTTTCTTCAGAATTTTTTTATTGAGCAAATCCTAAGCTTTCCTAGGCATGGGGACAGATGGAAAGGTGAATAGGATGGTCCAGCCAGGTGCAGGAGATAGGTAGACAACGTCCTCTGTGAAGTGAGAGCATGGAGGTGTGTGCCAGTGGCTCTGGGACTCAGGGAAACGTCTCCAACCTGGTTGAGAAGACCTCACCAAGGAGGTGGTGTCTTTACTGGACCTTGAAGGGTGAGGGACTGAGTCGACCAGACAGGCTATGGAGCAGGTCATCCCAGATCACAGGAACAACACCTTTAAAGGTGCAAAGCACAATGCATCCATCCTAGCTCAGATGCCCTAGTCCCTTCCTCAAGGCTCTCTACTGCCACCTTCTGGAAAACTATCATAAATCTACAAATCTACAGTGTCAGTCTAAAGTGTGATTTGTGCCCCCTTATAAGTAGGGCCCTGGTGCAGTGCACAACCTAAATAACCATACACTGAGTCCATAGAAAACACCAAAAAATACTGGGTCACTAGGGCCTTAAAAGGGATGTAAGTGGGGGAGTAATAAAATGACTGAAATTAATCAAATCTATTGTCAGTTCTCCACAGTTGGCCTTGTTTCAACAGCTTGTTGACAGCACCCCCACCTCTGTTGATTCTCACTACTTCCTATGGCAGTGACCTGACATCAGTGGGAGAAGACAGTCTGAAAATGAAGCTATTTACTCTCGTCCCTCCTGCCCTAGGGAAGGCATGAGCCTTAGGTACCAAAGCTTAACACATTGACTGCCACACTGGAAAAAAAATATTTTTCCATGGTGTTTTATTATGAAAATAGAATAAAAACTTTGAAAATAAAATGATCCTTTTTAATTTAATGAAAACTTTGTTATTTTTTGTTTTCTATATTTTTTTCAATAGAAAAGTAATATAAAAACTTGAAAATGAGTAATGTAAAAGGCAATGTGAAAACCTGGAAAATAGTCCATAATGGTAAAGTTTTCCTTGACTTATCAGGCTTAAGTGTAATTTAAAGGTAAACATAATAGAAAAACAAAATGTAGTGACTTCTATTCATTTAATCCACATTTTTTAATTGTCAATATTAATTATAACAATAAGAGCATCAATAAGTAAGATTTTCACGAACCAACTGCAGGGTTTTGTCCAGGTCTTGCTTCACGAGGCCCCGGGCTCAAAACTAGCCTGCGTTAAATACAACTCACCAGACAGTTAATGTGTTAAAAAGGAAGGTGCTTCCTCCAGGTTGTTCCACCCCTATGGGAAAGGCAATAGTGGCCACCAGTGGCAGGAGGGAAGAACAGAGACTCAGGGAGATAAGTGTGAGGTCTGTGGAGGGCAGATGTGCAGCTCTCCAGCTCTTGCTCAGAGGAATCTCCAAAGATCAGAGGCATTACCTGGTGCCAAAGCGGGCGATTTCCAGGAAAATCAAAAATCACAAGTTGTTCTGTTGCACGGTCTTAAGAGGTAACATCAAAGTTATACAAATGCAAGTATTGTGTTATTACATGGACCCCAAACCTATTTTTTCTATTTAGTGTTATCTGTGCTTTGGCTCCTTAATTAAGATGGAAAAAGAGATTTGACCTTGATGATAGCATTTAGCCTAAGCATATTAAACTGCAAGCTGGGCCAGGTGTGGTGGCTCACGCCTGTAATCCTAGCACTCTGGGAGGCTGAGGTGGGTGGATCATTTGAGCTCAGGAGTTGGAGACCAGTCTGAGCAAGAGTAAGACCCCTGGCTGGGCAAGGTGGCTCACGCCTGTAATCCTAGCACTCTGGGAGGCCAGGCGGGCAGATCTCTCAAGGTCAGGAGTTCGAAACCAGCTCTGAGCAAGAGTGAGACCCCATCTCTACTAAAAACAGAAAGAAATTAATTGGCCAACTATAAAAATATATAGAAAAATTATCTGGGCATGGTGGTGCATGCCTGTAGTCCCAGCTACTCGGGAGGCTGAGGCAGAAGGACCACTTGAGCCCAGTAGTTTGAAGTTGCTATGAGCTAGGCTGACGCCACGGCACTCTAGCCGAGGCAAAAGAGTGAGACTCTGTCTCAAAAAAATGAAAAGAGTGAGACCCTGTCTCTACCGAAAATAGAAAAAATTAGCCAGGCATGGTGGCACAGATAACACATGCCTGTAGTCCCAACTACTTGGGAGGCTGAGGCAGGAGGATCACTTGAGCCCAGGAGTTTGAGGTTGCTGTGAGCTAGGCTGATGCCACGGCACTGTAGCCTGGGCAACAGAGTGAGACTGTCTCAAAAAAATAAATAAACACTGCAAGCTGTGTCCCTTCTGAAGGACACAGACACACTAAAGAAGGCTCTGGATCTGCACTTGTCCACACGCATCTCCTTCACCCTCTGCCAGCCCTTTGGCCCCTTCTCATGTTATCAGTGGGGTCCTCCTTCCCCTCATTCCCCAAAGACTCTTGGGCCAGGCTCCCTCTCACCAGCTCCTGCCCTGGCCCCCAGCAATCTTCACTCAAATCCTCACCCTCACACCAAATACTCTGGCCCTGGTCATCGCCAGGAATAGACTCCAGGAAGCCACCTCCAGTCCTCCACCCTTGTCGTCCCAGCTTCATACCCACTGTATCTCTTCCACTCCAGGGCTAAGCCCTCTCTCTAACCCTTCCCCAGAAGGATCTTGTCCATGAGACTTCATCCAGACTACTTGATCTCTACACTCAATCTCAGATACTAGCCCTTCCATTCCAGGCAAATTTCTCCCATTTTAGCCAGGGAGAAGAAAATGAAGCCATTGGACAAATAAATGTCCCTGATCTCTGGCCCTCTGTTTTCACCTTTCTCTACATCTGTATCCATCTTGCAGCCAGAAGGCTGAGGGTCTATCCATCCCAGCCCTGGAGCCCATACTGGCCAAGACTGGGCCCTTGCACCATCAATTAACTATCCCTCCTCCCTTCTCTGTTCTGGCTGCTTCCCCACAGCAAGCTTAATTCCTTCCCATCTTCAAAATGACCTCCCTTGACCCTGGGCCCCCCCTTAGCTACCAGCCTTTCTCTTTTCTCCTTCATTCTTCTTCAAGGCATCATTGTCTATTTGCAGTGATATGGCATCTGCTACAGGTCCTTTAAGTGGTCTAACTGGGAAGCAGGGGACCAGGTCAGCAACTTCTGCTAAATTTAGTTCCATAGCACTACATGTTGCTCTAACTCCTTTCAAGGGAAAGAACAAAGTTCTGGTCAGAGTTTAGCTGCCCAAGGACCAAGCTCAACCCAAGGGCAGAGGAGGGCAGAAGTTTGAGAAAGAGGGCAGGGAGGCTGGCTTACCTGCACACAGGCTGGGAGTGCTGGCTCACACGAGCCGAGCGCACACCAGCATGTATGCACACACCACCAGGGGTGTGCACAGATGTGCACAACTGCAGGCTCATGTGCACATGGCTGCATATACCCACACACTTGAAGTGCAGTCTCAGTAGGGTACTTCCTGACAGCCCCAGGCCTACCAGGCCTGGCTTTCTGCCCCCACCCCTAGGCCAGTTATAGCCCTCTTGCTCTTACACAGAGACACCCACCGTTCTCCCCTCAGTGCTCCACTGCTGCCACTTCGCCTCCGGCAGGTGTCTCCAGGAAAGATCTCCTCAGGAGAGGGATCCCCTGCCTCCCTTCCAGGTTCCCAGACCACACACTCCAGTCCCCTGC